GGTTCGTTTCGCCTATAACATTTTTTTCGAAACACCTTGTCCAGACGCTCTGGAAAACTGGGATAGGCTGGGACGTCATCCCTAACGATGAAATTGTCGAAATTTGGAATCAGTATAAATCTGAGCTCCCCTTACTATGTGGATTACGCATCCCGCGTTTAATAATATCCTCTCCTATTTGCGACTTGCATGGATTTTGCGATTCCAGCGAGAAGGGATACGCCTGTGTTGTATATGTTCGTACTATAGAACCAAATAATGACATTTCTATAAGTTTCCTAGGGTCTAAATCTAAAGTTGCCTCTTTGAAGAAGGTCACAATTCCAAGACTCGAATTGTGCGCTGCTGTGTTGCTTAGCAAATTTATGAGCTTCTTATTGAACACTCTAACAACCAAAATTCCAATTCGTAATATTTTTGCTTGGTCAGATTCGCAAATAGTTCTCCACTGGATAAATGGTGCTCCTCATCGCTGGACTACTTTTGTTGCGAACAGAGTCACATTTATCCAAGAAAAAATTCCGCCGTCATCTTGGTTATATATTGATAGCAAAAATAATCCTGCGGATGTTGCATCCAGAGGCCTGCTACCCTCCGCTTTAATTTCGCATTCTTTGTGGTTCCATGGACCACTCCTATTGCGCAAACATGAAATTTCCAAATTCTCGCCTCCCTCGCCATTTTCATACCCCATTGAGGAAGAGCGAAAACTAGTTCTTTTCGCCTCTCCACAATTAGAATCGATTTTAGAGAATATGCTTGACAGTTATTCCGATTTTAAATTTTTACAACGCGTTACCGCCTATGTTGTAAGATTCTCGGAGAATAGCAGAAAAAATCATCCCGAACGCAACTTGGGACCACTATCAAATTCAGAACTAGATGCAGCCTTACGCTTCTTGATCAAGTACACACAACATAAATATTTCTCTAATGAATTAGAAAGTAACACATTTTCACGACCTTTTCGCAAGCTAGACGCTTTTCTAGATACCTTTGGGATTTTAAGAGTCGGAGGTCGCTTGAAACATTCACTTTTGCCGCATGATGCTAAGCACCCCATGATTTTACCACGTCAAGGTCGTTTGACATGGTTGCTCATCAATTATTACCATTTGAAATACTTTCATTCTGGGTTTCGTACGACTCAATATTTGCTGTCACAAAAGTTTTGGATTATGTCATCCAAAAGAGCCATTAATTCGGTTTTGTCTAAGTGTGTTCCTTGTTGGAAAAATAGTCCCAAACATTATCAGCCTCGTATGGCCTCGTTGCCCTCGCCGAGACTGTCCCAAGTTAAACCATTTCTTAATTCAGCGGTTGATTTCGGGGGACCTTATTACATAACGTTCAATCGCCATCGTGGTGTGAAAACTTGCAAGGCTTACATATGCGTCTTTGTATGTCTATCGACAAAGGCAGTTCATTTAGAACTTGCTAGTGATCTTTCTTCAGAGGTTTTCCTAGCGGCCTTGCAACGATTCATCTCACGACGAGGTCGAGTTACTACCCTATTTTGTGATAATGCTACAAATTTCACAGCAGCTAGTAAAGAAATCGCTCTGATGAAATCTGCTGCCCAACAAGAAACCATAACTTTTCAGTTTTCCCCTCCGGCCGGTCCTCATTTCAACGGCCTCGCTGAGGCTGGTATTAAATCCGCCAAACGTCATCTATCTAAAGTTATTGGAGAACAGATCTTGACGTTTGAGGAATTTTATACTGTCCTCACCTTGATCGAAGCGATTTTAAATTCTCGCCCTCTCACCCCTATTGGGTCTGATATCGAAGATATTAATGCGCTCACCCCAGGCCATTTCCTCACTCTGGAACCTCTCTCCCCGTTGCCCACACACGACTTCACCGCGACGCCCATGAATCGACTTTCGCGGTGGCAATTGCTACAACGTTTACATAGCGACTTCTGGCGACGATGGAACCGCGAATATCTGCATACTCTACAGCAGCGTGGTAAATGGCTGGATTCGGGCATATCCCCTGCTCTAGGTACGTTAGTTCTTGTCAAGGATGAAAATAATCCACCCTGTAAGTGGACTCTAGCCAGAATAATCAAGTTGCATCTCGGCGATGATCAAATTTGCAGAGTGGCCACTATAAAGACCGCGACGGGCAATCTGAAACGACCTCTTGTGAAGCTTTGCCCACTTCCGGTCGATGATTGAAATTATTATATAATATAATTTTCCTTTTTTTTTTTATCGCGCTTTGTTTTTTTTTTTTTTTGAGCTTATCAATTATTGAAGCAAATCCAAGGTATAGTAGATAGTATGAGTTTTTATTTTTGTTTATTTTCTCAAACAAAATGCACATGCGACTTTGGTTACTTTATATTATTTATACATGAGATATAAATAAACATGGATATATTTATTTATATATTTCTTTCTACTTTTCTTTTTTTTTTTGCGTAAAAAAATGCTATGATGCATTTTGCCGGGGCAGAATGTTGTGGAACTAGTAATTTTTCTCACATTTGTTAACGATTCAAATTATTCGCGCGCAAAGTATAGCACCAGGAGATCATACATCGCTGTCCGGTTGTCACATGACCTACGCAAGCTCAACAGGTGCCTCAGAGCACTTTTTCGTGAGCCGTCGTGTCTAGCGAACGGGATATACCGCGCCATGATCACAACCTGATCATTTTTCCTTGAATATGATAAAACTCTACAAACATTTTTACCTTCGGTCCCAACATTCAGTGTTCCGCAGTTAATCGATGTGAGTGTTGTATTGTGTACCCCGTCAAGACAGACTCAGTGTTGAGTGGAGCTCACGTGGAGACCGGCCTCTCTAAAGCCGCATTGTGGACTACCTCAAACCTCATCCAAAGGGGCCCTTTGCACTCCTAGCTGCAAACAATCAACCCACAGCCAAGTATCGACCACTCTGTAAGTCTCTGAGTGCTATACGCCTTAATTCTTGGATATAATTGCAATTCATTAATTCCCGCCAAAAAGTTCAACATTTTTCTATCTGCTCAAAATTCCTTTTCCTCGCTCTTTTATTCGCTCCGCAACACCTTGTAACCCCGAAACTATCTAGTTGGAGCATAGGACTTTCCCTTTAAAAGTGAACAATTTGGCCCATCCTGTACATATGTTCTTGAAGGAAATTGAATACTCTTCAACATTTTTTGATGGAAACGAATAGGTCAGACGATATTATGGATGAAAAATTGGATATTATTACTTTTTTACGACTATCTCCACATTCCGGAGCGTGTAGCTCGAAAACGGTTGGAGATTCTAAAAAAGTAAATTATATGGCTGACCCACCCAGAATGTGATTCGTACAACTCAAACACATACTCATCCTCAAATAATTCTTACCTAGAATTTGTGTATATTATCATGTATCCATTTCATAACCAATATACAATCATGAATCAAGAAATGTTTCTTATGTTATAATTATGTTCCTTTGATTATTATTGTGTCTACTGTGCATGTAGTAATGTACAGGGTGATCAGTTAAGGGTAGCGGGCGGCCAAGATATTGGTCGTATAGATTTGAAAAAAAAATCATGATAAAAGTCGCCAAGAGAAATTGCTGGAAATTATTTTCGAGTTTGTCAAACGTCCGCTAGAGGGCGTAACAACCAACGCCAAGTAGAAAAATGGGATTTTTATAGAATTTTGTCTAATGAAAGTATGTCGATGATATCATTTTCATATAAACTGACCATTTCCCTACATTTTTTGTCTGAAACGTTTTGTTCTATCTATCAAAATAAAGCAGTTGGGAGGAATTCAATTGTTTTTTTAAACAAACCAAGATTTCTCTCGTTTATTTCGACTGATTTTAGCAAGCTTGGGCTCATATGAAAGATCATAATTTGCCCTACAAAACGCTTATTTGGTATTGAATTTTTAACTTCTGCTATCGCCACTAGATGACGTTAACTGAAATATTAACAAATTTTTGATTTTTCTCCAAAAAAAAACAAATGTAATGGTATATCAATTATTTTTATATGTTTTGAAAGAGGATGAATTTCTCTATAATTTAATGAAAATAAATTATCATCTACCTTTTTTTGAACCGTTGATATCGACCGAAATATAATTTTATTACATTAAAAAATAGCACGCTACTGTTTTTTATCGAAAGAAAATTAATAATAATCTCTCATTAGTTGCTAACAAAAAGAACCTTTTTTTCGTTAGACAAACGGTTTTGGATTGAAAAATAAAATAGGTTTACATACTGGGCGCCCCATGTATATAAGAGATTACAAAACTGAATTTTATTTTGATAAAAAACAGGCGTACCATTTTTTAATGTAATTAAATTATATTTTGGTTCAAAAAAAGGTAGATGATAATTTATTTTCATTGAATTTGTTTTTTTTAAATCTCAAAAATTTGCTGACATTTTAGTTAACGTCATCTAGCGGCGACTGCAGAAGTCAAAAATTCAAAACCAAAGAAGCGTTTTGTAGGGCAAATTATGCTCTTTCACATGAGACTAAGTTTGCTAAAATCGGTCGAAATAAACGGGAGAAATCTTGGTTTGTTTAAAAAAACAATTGAACTTCCCCCACCGCTTTATTTTGATAGATAGAACAAAACGTTTTTGACGAAAAATGTAGAAAAATGGTCATTAAATATGAAAATGATATCATCGATATTCTTTCATTAGACAAAATTCTAAAAAAATCCCATTTTTCTACTTGGAGTTGGTTGTTACGCCCTCTACCGGACGTTTGACAAACTCGAAAATAATTTTCAGCAATTTCTCTTGGCGACTTTTATCATGATTTTTTTTCTCAAAGCTATACGACCAATATCTTATGAGATATGGCCGCTCGCTACCCTTAACTGATCACCCTGTACACACATTATTTTACTCTTTTTGTTATTCAATTTATTTCGCATTCTACACTACTTTCTGTATTTACCTGCTACTAATGTTCAATAAAGATCAATAAAGATCTATATATCTATCTATATCATATTGTCCTTTTTGATTTACAGAGATTCTTGGTCAAGGCCGCGTCCAAGGGAATACAGAGCTGGGGGGGTCAGGGATAGGGGCTATTCTCCCAGTTTAGAGCCTGCTGCGAAAAGAGTTAGACATGACTATTATGGTGATAACTTCTATAATCACTATGGTTCTTTCCATCAACCTCCTCACAGGTAAAATTATGAATTATCATCAGCTAAAGGGCTTTCACGCTAAGTTGATAGTGACGTCAATATGTCCACACATACAGTGTTGCCCGTTGAAAGGAAATTACTTCAAACCAGTGGAGAAAGTTATGTTGGTTCATTTCTCCATGGTAATCGTCATGTTTAGTTTTTGAAGAAAATACTAATTCTGCACCAGGAATGAATCCATTTTCACATACAGCATGTTCGACGATTAATCTGATATGATGATATGAATCACATAATGCAATTCATATTTATTCATGAGATTCATGAAAATTACCTGGAACCTCCTACTTTGTTTTTTTTCACACTTTTGACATTGGAGTCTTGCCATGAGTGTCCTAATGTACCATCCTGAAAGATCCAGGTCCCATCAAGAAAAACAAATTGCCTGAAATCTTCATTTTTCAATGGGCAGTATGTCTGCAGGAACGAAATACGGTTCACTGCAATGTGAGGTAGTTCCATCATTTCTCTTCGTGGATCATCTTTCCTGAACTTGAAACCAATATCTTTCAACACGTCCCAGAATCCCAGAGAGATTTGATGCCTCCATTAAAGAGATAACGTTCAGCAAGTTTATCTCTCTATGTTTTTAATGCAATGTGTTCCTCTATTTGAAATCAAACATAGGTATTACCTAAAATGATCATTAATTTACAGTGAAAATACTTACTGTTCTTATACATGTCATAGATACAATTCCTAATTGCTACTTGATCACCATCGTCTGAAATGGGTTTTTCTCTTTCTCTGTTCTTTTTGGGGCCAGCCAAATCATTACCATGTTCCTGTTTGGCAGATATTATCCATACAGTAGCGATGCTCATTTTTAATGCAGCTACTATCTGTAATTCAGACAAATCATATTTGGATTATTCTGACAACACAAAATATCATTAATACCTTCATTCAACTTATTACATCTCTCACTGCAGTCAGTGGAAGTAATAGGTCATCATTATCACGTTCATTTTCGAAATATTGTATCAATGATACCACCATCTTCTGCGGCTCCGCACTCAATGGTTCAGGCATTTTGAATATATCAAATTTCACCAATGATCCACAAATAAATCACAAACAATTCCTCTAAAGTACAAACTGTCAGTAATGAATAATTCGCAGAGATCAGCTGATCACAACAAATCGCTTCTAGAAATGTGAAATACATCTGGCATCGGTGTACAGTTTTGCCAACTTAAATCGATAACGCGGTTCGCTCATTTCGAAAGTTTCTAGTATTTTTCGGTGTGTAGTTTTGGCACGACTTTGTTACCAAGTATTGCGCAACTATCAACTTAGCGTAAAAGCCCTTTATTATTTGCATTTATTTGACTGTGTATACTTGACTTGATATTTGGTATTGTTGAGTAGTGAACCTGCTCATATTTTCAAATTCACTCTCAATGGATACAAATCTGTCCATTTGTCCATTGAATCATTATTATCTTCACATCATAATAAATTCATTAGTTCAGAAATAGGCGACTTTTGGAGAAAATCCAAAAAAACGCGCGATTTTTAATTTAATCATGATATTCATATGAGAGGTGTCAACGGTGTTTTTTTTAATATACAAACAGGAGTCATGTGACTCCTCATTTGACTGATCGTCTATCCAACAGTATAATCATTTCAATGTGTATTTACAGGGTCAATCAAAATTTTTTTTCAGGAGATTGAAATTACAATGAATGCTCATTTTTAAAACTGAATGTTGTTGTTGTGAAATTTTGTAGAGGCCTGCTACTCAGAATTGAACATCTATTAAAATTGAAAAATTATTACATCAATTGAAAAATTTGTAAACTCCTATAATTTGAAGTTAGGCATGTAGTATGTATTATTGAATTGTTTGATATTATTTTCATAGAAAAAATCAAATCACCTATAATGTAGCTAGGCGATTAACAGATACGGAAGTAATCAAAATTTTTAATATCTGATGAAGAAACCTGAGGAAAGCATCAGAACGGAGAAATCACAAATGAACCCTCAATATCTCGAAAACGTTAGAGAAAAATCAACAGCCCAGCTTCCACATTGCATAATTACTGAAAGTCATCAAATTGAACAATCATTATAATTTCATTGTATTTTAATAAATAAACAGTTTTAGTAGAGTGCCAAACATATCCTAAGTCGTTTAAATCGAAAAAGTTGATAAGAAATCCAAGGTGAAAAGCTTTGACATGGTTAAAATTGTTACCTACCATAGAAAAAACTATGGATTTTTTTTATTCACAGAAAATATTATTGGGTTTCAGTACTTTCACCTTGTCAAATCCTAATTTCGTAAGACGAGTTGAACGAATTATATAATATGTTGAATTTCACTACATTACGGTTGTCGCAGAGTGACGCCTCTGCTATGAACACACAGTAGTTATTAGGGATGAGATTTTCCTGTCAGTTGACAGTGGCAGAAATCAAGAAATTAAATTATCCTTCAAGCGTGGAGTTTTCATAATTTAGTTGTTTTTGCATTGAAACTCGGCATGGATATGCCAACGAAGTCGCCTGCTGCAACCTCCTTCCCAAGGAGAGGGTCTCGGGTGTTAAATAACCTGAAAGGTTTCACACCGGAAGGTGCTGCTCAGAGTACTCCTTCGTCAGTCTCACGACGACATGGCGCCCAACAAAATGGTAACAACGACCCACAAATCGAATGCCCTGAGAAGAACGAATCACAGTTTCGTAGTTCTGAAAAAACTACGTGGCGCCCATCTACAGAAGAAATCCTTCATGAGGTTACTTCATTAACAGCTCAGCTGTGGAATGAAATAAGAACTGACAAACTAAAACCAACATTAGCTCAGATAACAAGCTTTTCTGGTTATGACTGGGAATCTCCCCAACATTTTCTCCAGGAAATGAAACGATACTTTGATCAAAATAATATACCAACAAGACACCAAATGATGCAAGTACAGCAAGTTTTGGAAGGTGAAGCAAAGAAATGGTTTTCTGCTTTTCATGGTAAGCAATTGCACTTCGATTCATTCTGTAATCGTTTACTGGAACGTTTTGACAACGCATCACTTCATGGAAAGTTGTACGCAAAACTTTATGGTGAAAAACAGAGCAATGAAGCTGCTGCTGTTTTTTTGACTAGAAAACTCAGTTTGTTTCAACGACTCGAACCCAACCTTCCAGAGACTACCATAATATCTAGAGTGGTTGAATTACTGTTACCAGAGTTGCGCATCAACTTGAGAAGTAGGGAATTCTCTAGTATAGAAGAGCTTATACAAGGTGCTTCAGTGATAGAAAACGATTTGAAAGAAGTCAAAAAACCGACACAACCAATAACAGATGGTCCCAGGTCACCATGCCATTATTGTAACGGTTGGCATTTCAATAGAGATTGTCCGCAAAAGAGTCGTCGCAATTTTTCAGCTGAAAATCATAGAAACATCAGTTCCCAGGAAAACTAGATCAGGGTCGGTGTGAGCCAGAATACCCGACCCCTCGCCCGACCCTAACCACACTACATAAGACCACATACGACCGAAATTCAACTCATATCCGAATTCTCATCAACGACCAGCCGGTAGATGCATTGTTAGATACTGGAGCAAGTCATTCCTTCTTGAAATCATGTTTCGTCAACGAATCAAATATAATAAAGAAACCGACTACTGTTAGACTAGCAAATTCCATCAACACGTTGAATACATTAGGAAATGTTGTAGTTCCAGTTTTGGTTCAAGGACAAGAATTTGCTACAATGTTCCACATTGTTGAATCTTTATCTGAGGAAGCGATATTGGGACGTGATTGGCTGCAAACGCATCAAGCAGTGATAGATTTCGTTTCTGAATGTCTCTACATGGGGACACAAAGAAGAATAACAGTTCATTGGAATAGGTACCAACATGCGGAGACAATAACTAAAGAACCATTGAGATTCAATCCTGGACAACTAAGTACTGAAAATACAGGAAAATATGAATATTTATTAAAATCTTTTCAAGATTTATTCAAAGAAGGACTCCATCAACCTACCACTAAATTGGTGGAGCATAGAATAAGACTCAAAGATCAAACTCCTTTCAAAATAAGGAGGTATCAATATTCTCCTAGGAAAAGAGAAATCATACATGAGGAGGTAAATAAAATGAACGAAACATGATTTCAAGAAGGAATGACTTGCTCCAGTATCTAACAATGCATCTACCTGCTGGTCGTTGATGAGAATTCGGATATGAGTTGAATTTCGGTCGTATGTGGTCTTATGTAGTGTGGTTAGGGTCGGGCGAGGGGTCGGGTATTCTGGCTCACACCGACCCTGATCTAGTTTTCCTGGGAACTGATGTTTCTATGATTTTCAGCTGAAAAATTGCGACGACTCTTTTGCGGACAATCTCTATTGAAATGCCAACCGTTACAATAATGGCATGGTGACCTGGGACCATCTGTTATTGGTTGTGTCGGTTTTTTGACTTCTTTCAAATCGTTTTCTATCACTGAAGCACCTTGTATAAGCTCTTCTATACTAGAGAATTCCCTACTTCTCAAGTTGATGCGCAACTCTGGTAACAGTAATTCAACCACTCTAGATATTATGGTAGTCTCTGGAAGGTTGGGTTCGAGTCGTTGAAACAAACTGAGTTTTCTAGTCAAAAAAACAGCAGCAGCTTCATTGCTCTGTTTTTCACCATAAAGTTTTGCGTACAACTTTCCATGAAGTGATGCGTTGTCAAAACGTTCCAGTAAACGATTACAGAATGAATCGAAGTGCAATTGCTTACCATGAAAAGTAGAAAACCATTTCTTTGCTTCACCTTCCAAAACTTGCTGTACTTGCATCATTTGGTGTCTTGTTGGTATATTATTTTGATCAAAGTATCGTTTCATTTCCTGGAGAAAATGTTGGGGAGATTCCCAGTCATAACCAGAAAAGCTTGTTATCTGAGCTAATGTTGGTTTTAGTTTGTCAGTTCTTATTTCATTCCACAGCTGAGCTGTTAATGAAGTAA